CATATAGGCTACTACATACAGATATATGCAAACTCAACCAACACTATTTTAAACAGCAATAGTAAAACTGCATTGGTTACTAATTTGAAATTCAGCTATTCTACTTAATAATATTGTACATTGTAGTCAATCAGGAGACTACCCTTGTGCATTAATATCAACAAGGGCTGTCATATAACAGTTGTTCTATTTAACTATTCTCAGAACTTGATGGAAAATGTTTGAATTAACTAAGGAATATTTCATTTATATACATATGATCAAGTCTTGCAATTTTATTTATGTTCGCATGAGGCCATATTTCATTTAAAATTCACAAGTTATGAGCCTTTGACAGTGACCTCCAAGGTATACTATCATAAAGTTTCCGGGCGTCTGTGCCGAGTGGTTAAGGTCGTTGACTTCAACCCACTTGCCCCTCACCGCTGTGGGTTCGAATCCCGAAAGGGACTTTGGATTATTTCATATGAGGAAGCTATCCAGCTAGCTTACGGAACGTCGGTCGTTCTACTCAGGTGCCCGTTCGTGCCTGAAGTAATGCACGAAAGGGCACCTGAGGTAAATTCACCAGGTACTAGTACTTCACCAGTAAAGCCGGAACGTTGCGATATGACCTAGACTTTGTCAATGTGACGTAAAACCCAAAACAAACATACAAATTAAGTTTCAAGATTAACTTTGCAGGCAAAACTTTAACCTGTATTAAATTAGAAGTTTAGAGGGTCATACTTCTTTCAAAATCCATGCTAGAGTTACTAACCTTGGAAAGTGACCATTTTTATGATCCCAAAAAGTGTGCAAAGTCTTTTACACATGAAAGAATGCGGATTTCAAACCAAGGTGAAGTGCAAGCCATTAGTTGCACGAAAAACTTTAAGATGTTACACTGATGAAGAATTCCAGGTGTAAAGGATACCCCCATTTTTCTTCAAATAGTTAAGCTAAAAATAATAACTGCACTGTAGATCATCAATGAATTTATATCATACTTCTAAGTCTTGATTTTCAAAACAATGTGTATATGAAATTACAAATGCAATATTTTATTGATTCAACATACATGTATAACCATAGTCCTAAATATAATGTATTAAGGTTTGATAAACCAAACATAAACAAAAAAAGAGTACATAAGTTGGCTGTAAGGTCACTCAGAATCACAGGGATAAATTGACAAATATTTCTCTTCCTATGAAGTTAACATCCAAAGTCAATAGTAACAATAGAATAACAGCAAGATCAAACTTGACCAACACTAATTATATATAGGTTGGTATAAGCTAGTTATTGAGTTAAGGCAATGCATATTTAATTTCAGGTTTTAAAGTACAATTTGTGTCTTCAGCACTGGTTTAATACTTAACTTTCTGAGTCAGATACCCAGTCATATTGTTACTATGGTCAGTGAAATCATGATACCCATTCACATTGTTACATTGTACAGTGTTTACTAAAGATGCATTAAATCAAAGCAAGAGCCTACATATTATCTTATTTTTGGTAAATCAATGGTAATAATTTAACAAATTTCTTTCAAATTTGTTTTTATTTTAACCACAATAGTCATGTGACCAGCATTACTTCAAATATAATCAGAAATAACTTACATGTAGACACTAAAGGTATATCAATTTTCATTTGCTTGTACCAAGTAAACTATTTTTGGAATTTCTAAGCTTTATCAGCAAGTATGCAAGCTAACTAATTAATAATTTCTCAAATAATGACAAAGAAAATCATTCACAAGAAAAAAACAAGGGGGCCATAATGGCCCTGAAGACACTCACCTGTATATAGGCCCCCGGGATGAGGCCAATTTTAACCCAGGGGCTTTTATTTGATCAAACTTGGTAGACACCCATTTGAAGATGTTTCAAGATAAATATCTAAGCTCGAGCTCTTGAATTTTTTTTTAAAGTTTTTACTATACACATTTAGGGAAAAACAATGACCCCCTTCTGGGCAAAGCCAATTTTGTCCCCGAGCTTTTATTTGAACAAAATTTATTTGGTAAAAACTCACAAGAAGATATTTCATGCTTAATATCTAAACTCTAGCTAAAAGAAGATTTTTAAGTTTTTACTTTACACATATACCCTGGGGCGGGGCCAATTTTGAACCAAGGGCTTTTATTTGAACAAATTTTGTAGACACCCATATCTAAGCTCTAGCTATTTGGGTTTTTTAATAGAAGATTTTTAAAGTTTCTACCATATACAAATAAGGAAAATAAATGCATTTAACGCTTACATTGCTGAAACCAAGTGATTAGCCTTTGCCAGCAGTATACAGCCAAGCTATTGAGACTGAACAGGCTCCACACTGTTGTCTCACTAACTTTAACTTTTCATCCTGATGTATAATGTACCCAAAATGATAATAAACACTATAAAATATGAAAGCCAGACATTTGTATAAAGAAACTCTACAGGCTTAGGGTTGATATAATTTTGCATCAATGCTTTCATTTTGCAAAATTCAAAAACAAATAGGTAACATCTAAAAGCATTTAAAGAAAGGCTGCAAGTCTTATTATGTTGTCATGAATGACAAATATCCCATAAATAATTTCATGTTAAAGCAAAACTGTTAGTTAAGACATTACAAGTTGAATTAAAAAATCTAACTTAGGATCAGGAACCATATTCCTAAACAAAAATAATTATGCAGAATTTATGCAGCTTGTTCTATATGATATGATGCTTAATGTGAAACAAATGCCCCCAGTTGAAATGCAATCATTTACAATGTAATTATAACATTTCCTGCAGATTTACATTTATTCAAGACTGTGAAAAAATTAGACATAACTCATTGATAATTAATTAAAGGTGCTATCTCATTTAGGGTAAGCAACAGTAATAACATAGATGCTGTAAATACCCCAAATATTCAAATTTATAAAGGGGATATCATTAACAAAATACTGGTGCCTGATGTGGGCAGAAAATGAAGTCAACAAAATTCAACTTGTTACATCCTTAATGCATTACACAATATCTCACACAGTAAATTTTCATGTTTCAGAAACAGCTAATTTTAAAATTTATCAAAAATTACAAAATTGTACAAGAAAATATCTAAATTTCATGGAAAATGATGCCAGAATTTTAAACCTATGTACAGCCATTTGATGTGAGTGTTGATAGGAAACTAAAGATTCTGATTTAATATATAATTTAAATTGCACATGCATTTCTATTTCATATGACCAGTAAAATTTCTATCAAAACATCTTTTTGATAAAGGTCACAACTTGCAGCACCAATAGTTATACATATGTAGTTTTCATGAATTTGTCATCATAAGGCTGTCGCCTTTCACAAAACTTAACATTTTGGGCAAAACCTCGGCAAAACCTTGACCTGAAATTACACATACTATAAAGTAATTAAAGCATTCCATGAAAAAGTGTTCCAACACAACTTAAACTTAATCTCTATGTTGAATGCAGGTATCTGATCATATACTGATGATGGTCCATACTGTACAAGTATTGAAGTCTAACCATATTTCAACATTTTTGCAGTGGTGAAGACTTTTAGACTGCTATTTGGCTCTGATTGATCATTTGATTTGATCTTTGCTGTAGTAATATGTCACATAATATTCCATCCCAAATTTTATTTTAAAATAAATAAACAAGGTCAAAAATCCTTATTTCATCTTCTGTAAATGCATGTAAATCACATGATAAGTCTTTGTTCATAACATTTACTTCCCACTTACAAGAGGCTTTCAGATCCACAGATACTTTGATCACTGATTTCATCTATGTTTTATGCCTTGGAGTTCAACTGTACTATTTCTAATGGTTATTTTATACATGTACTTATTACACAATGTTTACAGTATTTGGCAGAATCTGTTGGACTAGCTGTAGCTGTAAGTGCTAGCAAAGCTCTTCAACCCCTGTGAACACTGGATGAAACACATCTTTCTGTTTCTTGTCATATACCCTAAAAAACAGAAATTATGACATTTATTCAATTATATATGTATATAAGAATTGAACAGTATGAAAACACCATTTATACAGTAACAGTCCTGTTGTTTGAAGAAAATAACCAACTTTATGTTAATAAATGTCAAAATATAGTCCACCGTAATTTCAGAAGAATGGTGTTGATCCATTAAACATGTACAGAAATCTGTCAAAATGCAGAAACTTAGTTTAAACTTTATTTATTCAATAAATGCAGAAACTTAAAATTTGAAATTAAATCATCTTCTAAAGTATCTCTTTTGAGCTACTGTTTAGTTTATACTTTGATGTCAGAACTTCCTTCTTTGTTTCTTAAAAATTCTAAAATCTCCCTCTTTTTGAAGAAAAATCTCCCACTTGATCATCAAAAAAGTTCACAATAACGGGTCATATATGACTAGCACACTGTATTGTCTAGCAAGAAATCTTAGCTTCACACCCTTTGTACATATAATTTAAATTTGACATCAAATTATGGTATAGAAATTAATACAAAGCATGTTTCTTACTAGTCAAAAGTGAAAAGAACAATGAAAAACATACCATGACAGTGTGTACTTCGTCAAACAGAATACAGATATTTTCCTCTACGAATATCACCATTTTCGCTGGAATCCTTATCTATGTAAGTGGCAGAAATCCCAAAACAATTAGGTTTTCTTTAACACAAAGTTCACTATATAAATATGTTAACCCTTGAAAACACAGACACTTTCCCGATCATGTCTATGCACACACAAAAGTGTCATTGCTCTGCTCAATGATAGATTGTACCAATGCCTTTTGAAACGGTTTAATGGATCCATAATTGAAACGTTTTGCAAGCTTATCGAAAGTTGAATTGTTAACAGTCGCCACTTTGTTTACAAAATTTTGAGGAATTACCCGTCTATTTATAATTTTGTACACACGTCATCTGTTTCAACCAATGAAAATGCGTATAAAGATTTTCGGGCGATTTGGATTTTGGAAAACTTTCATTGGTCGTTCAAAGTTCACTGTAAAGGTCAATATCATGAATCGACGCGTTTTAAAGCAGCGGTTTGAAGTAACGGGAGTGTATTCAGTAAGCTGCGAAGGGAGCGTACAGGAGCTAAACAGGGAGGACCCAAAAGGATACAAAAATTTCCTAAGGGTAGACGCTGATATGTTTGGGGAGCTTGTTGATCGCATATCACCCAGAATTCAGAAAAAGAACACCAACTTCAGGTAAATCATGGGTTCGATCCCCATCATTTTCACGTATTTCTGAAATTAGTCATCGAATTACTTTTCCAACCATTTGACTTCTACAGCTCTGTGCAATTGTCACTGATATTTAAGAAATTTTAATATCGTTGTATCATAGTAGGCTAGTTATTACTTATCATTGTTCAATCTCTATTTCAGGGAAGCCCTGGAGCCTGGATTGAAGTTGGCGGTCTCTCTTCGTCATCTCGCAACTGGAGCCTCGTATTCAGACTTGATGTACTCATGCCGAGTGGGGAGTAGCACAATAAGTAAATTCGTCCATGAAGTTTTGGATGCTATAATTCAGGAGTACTCTGAAGAGGTGCTGCCAGCCGTCGTCACTGCTGAACAATGGCAGCAGATTGCAGATGACTTCCGAACCAAGTGGAATTTTCCTCATGTCTGCGGGGCTCTTGATGGTAAGCACGTGAGGATAAAGAACCCGAGGAAATCTGGGTCTCTGTTCTATAACTATAAAGGTTTCTTTTCCATAATACTACTCGCACTCGTAGACGCAAACTACAAATTCATTTTTTTAAGCGTTGGTGCTAATGGCAGTGCATCCGATGCCCAGCTATTCAATTACACTGAACTCAGAACCATGCTAGAAGAAAACAACCTTGGTTTGCCGGACCCTGATCCACTGCCTGGCGATGACATGAACACCCCATCCTTCCTCATTGGAGATTACGCTTTCCCGTTGAGAACTTGGATGATGATGATCGGGGTTTGATCATGTGCGGTCGTGTGTGGTCGTGGAGTAGTCGGGTAGCAGTCTAGATAATCTGGACAAGAGATCGGACAGAGATCTACTTAATGGGGATGCGATCGTATATTACTCGAGTAGAAGTCGAGATGATCGGGTACAGATCGGGTTAAAGATGCCAATCCGACCAAACAAGATCGCTACACGATTGTTTCTCGATCAACAAGATCTTCAACTCGATCAATACACGATCGCTTCCCGAGCTCTTCTCGACCGCTTGGCTACACGATCGCTACACGAATTTTTTTGACATGTCAAAAAAATTCGGGTAGAAAGCCCAAGCGATGCCGACCAAGGTAGACCTCCCCGACCACTCCCGATCAATCATGCCGACCGACCCAAACCAGTACCCGATCGCTTGATCGTGCTTGATCGAGTTGATCTGATCGGCAGTGGGAGCCCAGCTTTAAGGTGGCTTCTTTAGGTCTTGTGCAATTGTGATGCAAGTGGAATGAATTTGAAAGTAAGCCAAAAGTGTAAAGATGTTGTCAATATCGAGTGTGGTTTCATTTGCGTTGATAACGGCCTGATACTATTTCCTCATGCCTTTCATAAGGCCGCGAATGGCGTCTTCGTTAATTTTTAAAATTAAATTTTGGCTCTAAATTGTTGGGCTAAACATGTACCAGAATACATAATATTAGCTCCCGTGACCTAGTTTTTGACCGGACATGACCAATCTTAGCATTTGACCTAGAAATCATCAAAAAACCTTCCTGACAAATTTCCAGAATATTTGAATCAAAACTGCAGCCACTAGAGTGTACACAAGCTTTTTCTATTTCTGGCTCCTGTGACCTAGTTTTTGACCTGAGATGACCCATCTTCGAACTTGACTTAGAAATCATCAAAACAACCTTCTTGACAAATTTCCAGAATATTTGAATCAATACTGCAGCCACTAGAGTGTTTACAAGCTTTTTCTATTTTTAGCTCCTGTGACCTAGTTTTTGACCGGAGATAACCCATCTCGAACTTGACCTAGAAAACATCAAAACAACATTTTTTACAAATTTCAAGAATATTTGGATGAAAACTGCAGCCCCTTATGTGTTAACAAGATTTTCTATTTTTAGCTCCTGTGACCTAGTTTTTGACCGGAGATGACCCATCTTCAAACTTGACTTAGATATCATCAAAACAACCTACCTGACAAATTTCCAGAATATTTGGATGAAAACTGCAGCCACTAGAGTGTTAACAAGCTTTTTCTATTTTTAGCTCCTGTGACCTAATTTTTGACCGGAGATGACCCATCTTCGTAATTATCTTAGATATCATCGAAACAATTTTCCTGACAAATTTCCAGAATATTTGGATGAAAACTTCAGCCCCAAAAGTGTTAACAAGCTTTTTCTATTTTTAGCCCCTGTGACCTAGTTTTTGACCCGATGTGACCCATCTTCAAACTTGACCTAGCTATCATTAAAACAACCTTCCTGACAAATTTCCAGAATATTTGGATGAAAACTGCAGCCTCTAGAGTGTTAACAAGCTTTTTCTATTTTTAGCTCCTGTGACCTAGGTTTTGACCCGAGATAACCCATCTTCGAACTCGATCTGTATTTCATTGAGTCAAACATTCTGACAAAGTTTGATGATGATCGAATCAAAACTGTGACTGCTAGACTGTTCACAGCCCAATTGTTAGAGTGTTAACAAGCTTTTTCTATTTTTAGCTCCTGTGACCTAGTTTTTGATCGGAGATAACCCATTTTCTAACTTGGCCTATATATCATTAAAACAACCTTTCTGACAAATTTCCAGAATATTTGGATTTAAACTGCAGCCTTCAGAGTGTTAACAAGCTTTTTCTATTTTTAGCTCCTGTGACCTAGTTTTTGACCCGAGAGAACCCATCTTCAAACTCGATCTGTATTTCATTGAGTCAAACATTCTGACAAAGGTTGATGATGATCCAATCAAAACTGTGACTGCTAGACTGTCAACAACCCCATTGTTGACGACGCACGACGCACGACGACGGACGCAGGACATAGCCCTATCACTATACCTCACCTTGACCACTTCGTGGTCAGGTGAGCTAAAAACTGAGTACACAGTAATAATCTCTATCTTTAATCAAATAGACGTTTTTAATAGATTTTAGAAAGAAACTAGTAAAACCATTATTGGGTAGGTCTGGGTAGAATCGTTTAAGTTAGCCGTTGCTTTTTTCAACGCATCTGATCTTAAGAAACACGCTTTCATTTATCCAACTGAACAGAAATGCCGTATCCTAAAAGGACGTTATGAAGGTGGTCGATTCTGTATTGCATAGCATCATCTTCCTTCAAAATGAATTTCTTTCTTCTGAAATCGTTTACGTCACTCAAACATAAGCCTTCTCGATACACTTTTTTTACATTCACTATGATTCAATCACTTCAGCGATTGTGTAAAGTTCTCTTTAAACCGGTGCCAAGGGGCTCGGACGGTAACTTGCACTTTCCAGCGCCCTCCATGGACAGACTCAATCAAGAGGAACCTGCAACATTTTACAATTTTGTCGTTTTAAGCGTTCTTTAGGGATTACGTTGTTCTCTATTTCTCCCGAGTCTGTTAAAATGTTTATTGTCTTGGCTGCTTTCCTTAAAGGTGTGACGTCATAACGTCAAACACTGTTAGCTACTAATCTTAAGATTTGTTTTGTATATATGAATGTCAATTGTCCAAACTATGTTATATTGTCAATAAATAATGATTTTTTCGTTCTCTACCATTTCATACTTTTCTCACATAAAGACATTTTAATGTCAGATATTGAAAAGAAATTCGCTGTCTTTGAAACCTCTGACACGATGTAGCTGGAATATGTTTCTAAGGCAACACATTTAAATGTAAATATAAAAATAAACCTGATAAAACTTTTTAACTACCAACGTGCTTTGACATAGATCATAAAGTTTTAAAGTAACAAGAAATGTCCACGTTTTTTGTGTCTTTTGTTTGTGAAACTCTTGTATATTTGTTCTTATACATTATTTTTCATGTTACCACTTCCGTTCAGATGCGTTTGTTAAGCTCGTTGTATATGTAAATCATCATGGGTTTTAACCAACCGCAATGTGAAATAAACTTTGAACCTTTATCAATGGGTATAACAATTTGATATAATGGAATAAATAAATGGCGGCCAATTTAATATGGTTAACGTATTTCCTGTTGTTATTTCTGATGTAAAATTGTATAAACCATACGATGCATAATAACTCTAACTTTTTAACGAACAAAAAGTCAGTTTATCCCGATGAATCTATGTTTAAGATATTCATGCTTTTATATGCTGAAAATTTTGTCATTTTTGCAATTGCAGCTCAATCTTTACAATGCTGTATAAATTTATTGTATAATTGTATCTCAAAAGTCAGAAGCATCCACCAAGGATGTCCTCTTGAAATGGTGTTTATTAAACTATTAATTTAACACTCATGTACAAATAAATGAATAACGGCTTAATATCTTTAACTGTCAGCACCAAATTGTATAAACGTTGGTTAAATTAACCCAGGGTTAAACGCTAACCCTGGGTTAAATATAACCAACTTTGGTTAACTAACCAGTTTGGTTAGTCACTTGTATTAACCGAGATAACCTAAAGGTTAAATAACCAAAATGGTAAAAATTAACCGCTGGTTAAACTAACCAAAACTGATCCCGACATGCAATACATTCTATATCCGGTTATGTTATTTTCGCGGAATATGTCAAAATTAACACATGGTTTACTCTTCCATTTTTATTACAATCGAAAATTTTGATAGAAGAGTTAAAATCGGTTCAAATTTTCAATTAAGATGTTAATTTTTACAACACTAATTACATATCATCATTAAACAAATGTACAAAATATAACTTTTACGTAGCATGAACTTGTTTATGACCTCGGAACTGATGTCACGGGAATTAAATTTGAATTTATACCACGAATATTGTCGCTATAGATATTTGCCTAAAACATGGTTCAGAACGAATTTATTATGTTTTTCATGTAAAAATATTAGGAATTGTGATTATAAAATGATGAAGTAGTGAAATTAATTCGTATTTTTCCATTTCTACTGACGGTTCTTGTCGGTAATTAGTGAGACCGCATGGTTGCTATGGGCTTTGTTTACAAATTAAAATGTACTGCAAATGAGCAAATATCAAAATCATCCGTCAACTGGGACAGAAAATGGTTAGAATGTTAATAATTTCATACAAGAACCACTCGATGCAGAAGTATTGACGCATATATTTACTATCAGATTCGTACCTAAAACGTTCGAACCCAAAATATTTTGTGTAACATCAGATGTAATTTTTGAATAATTTTTGCCCCAAACTACTCTCTGTAGTTTCTCTATATAATATATGAAACTTCTGTTTCAGTAACTAAATATCATATCAGTCACCTTTGGGAAATCTTGTTGCATTTGTCAAAGCTATGTTTCATGATAGAAGAGCTTTACTGAAAGTTTACCATATTATAGCAAAATAAATAATAGAATAAAGGTCTAGTTCTTGCTTATTAACCTTAACAACAACAAAAAAACAACATGAAAAAAACATTATTGAAAACAAAATCAGTTTGCTTTCTTGTGACTGTATGACTGACATCCTTTATTTTAAACATTCAACATGTTTTATAATTCTCACTAGTCACAGCACTGAAATGCAAAATCAACTTGGTTCCCAGCAGTAAATTTACTAAACAGAGAAAAAACTAAATGATCAATAATTATGAAAAAGAAAACAATAGTCATCTTAAATTGACCATAATTAATTCATAAACAATCAAAAATGATTTTTAATTTACCTCTACTTCAATTTTGTATTATTTTTATTATACCCTACAATATTACGTTTAGGAATTCTTACATCTTATATAATAATTGCATTACTTATACATGTATCTTGTTAGTAAAAATACTTAACACTTAAATGAATGATTGGAACCTGTCAGTGAGGCTGGCCAACATTATACTAGTCCAGTAGCTTTAGGAATAGGCTATATGTCAGGTAGCAAGACACCTCACCCCCCCCCCAGACACTTCACCCCTCAAATTTTGAAGACACTTCACCCCTTAAGACACTTCACCCCCCAAAATCAGTAAGACACTTCACCCCTCATCCAATTTTTTTCTATAAAGTAAATAAAACAAGTTGGTCAACAACAAAATGCTTATATATGTTTATATTTATTATATGTCATTGAAGTAGGTAAACCAGGGTTTCAATATATGTACATAATGTAATGAATAGTATATGACTGTTACCCAATAAACAATAAGTTAGCCTATATATACTTTAATAAGTGCATACATGTAGTCTATAACTGGTTGAAAATTAAAAAGTGTCCAAATATGTTTTCTAGAATTCTATCTATTGTTAAATTATTATTATTTTGTAAAATATTCTCATCTACATTGAAAGTCTGAATAAATTATTTAATAAATAAAATACATCCTCATTTAACAATGGAATAATGGTCTAAATCTCTCTCTCCCTCCCTCTATTTATTGCTTATTTATTAACCCCCTCTCTCCCCTCTAAGAAATATCAAGAGTAGCAATGGGGATGAGATATTGAATAATATCTCCACATGGCCATTTCCAAGGTATAATGCTAAATATACTCAATAATGCTTTCATTCATCTGAGTTCAATCATAAATATTTACTTTCATTGTTTACATTATATAAAGAAGAAGTATTTTTAGAGTCAAAGCAGTTTAATTCAAAATATTAATAATAAAAGATTTGGACATGAAATTGTAAAAACAAAATGTATTTCTGTTTGAGTACCGGTACATATAGAATGAAAATATTAATGTTAAGAATTGCCTTTTTCCCATTCAGTACTATATTGTGGCACATTAAATCAGACCTAAAGCAGCTTCCTATCCTTAGAAAAGTAAAACAAGCTTTTCAATAATTCAAGAGTGAGACCAAATATCTTGTTGTTCAGTTAAATTCTGAAGAATGTGTCAGTGTATATGCCTAAATGTAGTTAATTTGAAAAAAAGACCTTTATTTGGAAAAAAATGAGGCTATTTGGGGACATTTTACAAGTTGAAAGTTAAAAGGTTGATAAAATAACTTTATGATAAATGCTTGTGTGTGAATTCATGATCATAATTAAGCTTGTAACTTTTTTTAAGAACTAAGTAAAAAACAGTTTAATTTTCATCAGAAGATGACATTGTTTATTCTTCCCTGCTGCTAGAAATAAACAAGCCCTTTATCAACCTTTGATGAGAAGACAAATTGCCTAGGTCATCATTCTGGAAATTTTGCTGATCAAATTAGGTAAAGTTTTTCAACAGGGAAATCTTCCTAATTTATAGAAAAAATGTATTGTACTCCAACAACACACACATGCACTCACAAACATATGTCTGTAATGATACTGGAATGAACTTAATTAATAACTAACTTAATTGCTTTGGATAATTTGATTAGGAATTTTTTTAAAGATTGGAAAAAATAAGCATGATTATATTTATTACAGTATTTGCCTTTTGAAATCTGTTTGATAGAGCTAAAATAATTATCAATGTATCATCAATATTCTTTTTGGAAACCAATTTATAAACATTTGATTTTTTTCGACTAATTATACACGAGATGAGCCAAAATATTTTAAGGACATTAGCTTAAAAATGTACATTGTACTAGGATTTTAAGAAAAGTCAAAATTCAAGTTTTAAGTAATATTTTTTATAACAGTTGTGAACAATTGATGATTGATTTTTCAGTATTTATCACCATATCTCTACTGTATTACTAACGCAATAAGGAATTTTTGCATATTTTGACCTCTTTCTACTCATTTGTATGGTTGCTGATATGTTACACTTTTGCATGTTGCGTTGCCGTTTATCGCCTTTTTTTCCTTGGCGCTACAAAACGTGCCAGACTGTGGCACTTTGTCTCCATGTCTCTAGGCTTATATCAAGGGAATGGCTTCTTATTGTGCTATGGCATGGCTCAAGTTGTTGTCGCCAGCAACAAAGCAGATGTCATGGTTCAGAACTGTTTCACTAATCATGGAGAAAATGTGTAAAAGGCCGGATAGCTCAGTCGGTTAAGCCCGCGGAACGGTATTCCGAGGGTCCCGGGTTCGAGTCCCGGTCAGGCTGCACATTTTTCTCACCCTTTGACATTTGGCGCCCAACTGGGGACTGTGACTGCATATAGCTTAGAGTTTAATTCACATTGCTCTGTAACTCTGTGAAATTCGAGGACGGATTACAATATAGCAGGGGAGTATGTCACGGTTCAGAACTGTTCACTTAATAGGGGAGAAGATGTGTAAGCGGCCGGATAACTCAGTTGGTAGAGCCACGGAACGGTATTCTAAGGGTCCCGGGTTCGAGTCCCGGTGAGCTGCACATTTTTCTCACCCTGTGACACATATTTAAGCCCTAATAAGCTAATTCTTCCATTTGAGTCAAGCGACAATGTGTCATCAGGCCACACACTGCGAGACAACCTGCCAATTGGCTTGTTTCACTAGCGACATGACAACAAGATGACAAGGCCTGACAACAGAGCAATCTCGACTTTTTGGTGTAGGAATAACAATTGTTAAAAAGGGGAAGCAATTATGCATGAAATATGGAATGAACAAAATATACTCTTTTATATGACTTCTTTCTTTGTTTTGCCAACTTTCATATCAGATAATGGTTTTATACACAAAACGCAACAAAAAACAAAAAAGTCATGCAAACTGTTTGTCAACTGATAGTGTCACAAAAAGTTAAATGCATTATCATACCTTCTTCATAATCATAATGATAAGTTCAGCAAGAGAATTCTCTAAGGTGATATATCCTGTCAGTCTGTAAACCTTTAATAATTCATGTTGTTATTGACAATTACACGAAAACGCACACATATGTGTTGATCGAAACAAAATTTACTGATCAATCACAAAGTATACAGCCTCATGTCACTAACAAAGTTTGCACTATTACCCTATGCTACGACCGGATGTAAACAATACGTTCGCACAGGGCATGCGCGGTGGTTAAATCCCACCCATTTTATTCGATTAAATTCTAGAACAACCACTACTTTCAGTTTCAATTTTGCTGACAAATAACAGTTTGAGTCAACGTTAGTGTTAATTTTAATTTCAATGTCCAAAACTTTGCACTACACGGCATAATTTTCATTACATATCCGTATTATCATCGTCATGGTAGTTTTTATTCCAGTCGGTCAAAATGACGGTACACATTTACATGTAAACAAACAGATTTAACTTCTCAGACAATTTAAATAAGGAATGGACACACGGTAAATTCTGTTGCAACGTAAAGTATATTCATAAACCTGTTTGAGAAAAATTGTCTCCGTGTTCAAATAAATTTCAAAAACGGAAAAAAAATCAGTCTTTTACCGATTCTCTGCAACATAACCTTATTATTCTGTTGAATTAATTTGACTTTATAACGCTCGTATACAATTATTTATTGATCGATTTTCATTATATCTATTTTGTAATACCTATCATTCAATATGCAATCAAACAAAACCAAGTTTTCCTACATTCAAGGAAACTGTTCGTTAGGACGAGCTTTCAAAACGAATAGGTAGCAATTTCCAACACGCTTACCGAAACTCCAACATGGCGGCTCATTTGCATAATTTATTCATAAACGCAGGAGCATAGAACTTTGTTAGTGCATGTTTGTCTTTGCAGGGATCTCCCGCTGCGTACTGGTCCAGAATGACTTCGTAATTTAACTCATAAATTGTCCTTCAAGTCTATCCTCAGTATGATCTTCATTTAATCGGTTCAAAATGACATTTTGTATCATGATTTATCCGAATTATCCGACACTGACAGCTGATTTTTAAAACTGTTTATTTCCGGCTCTGGAAAAGTTTGTTTCCGTTTCCCGTCACTACGCAACTTATAGAAATATCGTTGCCATCATATACAACCGATAATAGTCTATTTCGAAGCAAAAATGAACAAAAGTTGAGACGAAGCGTACAAACGGCAGCCATTTTATTTCTGGTTAATGTTTGGTTAAAATTTAACCTACCTCCTATACGTGGGTTAATTTAACCAGAAATTTACGCTGGTTAAATTTAACCAAAATTTTATACAATCGGTTAACCAAAGTTTAACCCAAAAGTTAACCTAACCATGGATTTAACCCAGTGGTTAAAGTAAACCAACGTTTATACAATTGGGTGCTGAAATGCAACTTGTGTGCCTACAACAATAACACTTAACCACTGTCACACATTTTAATCATTAACATTATTTTAATTGGTAATTATGTAATGCAAATAAATAGAGATGTTGTTTCAAAAATATCATCTTTTAGCTCTTGTGGCAATCCTCATCACAGGACGAGAACCGTTTGAGAACTATTTATATGCAACCACCCAACGACCAATTATTTATAATTTCATCAAGATCAAGAAATATAATAGAAGATATGCTGTTTAAAGATTGTCTAGTTTTAGCTTTGACGGCATTTTTTTCAGACGGACGGAGGGTAAACCTAGAGTCCCCTCCGGTTAAACCGGTAGGGGACAATTATGGGTGCATTTGTTGCCGATAAACTTAGTTTGGTTTCAAACCCGTTTTGTAAACCCTACATTTGTTTTTCAGTTTTTCACTTAAACTAAAACTGATTTAGTTGTTTTTAGAAGCGGAAACAAGAACCGGTTTCGCAAACTGACCAAACTGCCTCCAGATGCAGTTTGATCGGTTTAGGTTGTCCGAACATACATGCACTTTCCTGGAAAAATGGCGGCAGCCAAACATGAAGGAATGTTGGACCAACATTCAAATCGGTAATTGGCAAATGAGCATAATTTTTTAAACATTTTAAGCGGAACAGTAATGTTACTTATTAGTTGCAAAGTTGTATGACACAGCTTATAATGCTTTATAAGTAGAACTTGTGATGTTGCATTTATAATCTAGAAGTATAGACGAAACGTACGTACTCGAGTCTCAACGTACCCAGCATTAAAAAGTCAAAGTAGAGATCTACTTAACATATATCACAAAATATTCTCTTCTATATTTTAGTTTTAATATTTAAAAAGTAGCTATTTATGTGATGAAATTAAGTATTCTTTAATAATTTACTTCTCACTCTCAGTCCTGTAATAAATTACGTTGAACTGTTGAATTATTATTTTCTAAGGATTCTTACTTTATTTCAGTATCACAGAACGAATTATTGCAAAGCCCAAGTTTTCAGTGGACGAGACCTGCTGTTCTTAGGTTAATAGCACTTTATAAAGAGAATGAAGCAAAATTTCAGAAACCAGCTATTAAGAAAAAGACAGTTTGGCAAGAAATTGCAAACAAAATTACTGAACACCTGTTACCAGTAACATGGCAGCAGTGTGAACAAAAATGGAAAAACATGACAAAAGCATACAGAGACACAATCGATAATAACCGAAAATCTGGTGCTGATAGAAAGGAATGCCCTTTCTTTAAAGAAATTGGAGAAATATATGGGTACAGACCAAATGTTACTCCATTACATTGTGAAGGATCAATGGCTGAAGCTGGTGAAAGTGAATCTAGCACAGGTAGTGAAGAACCAGGAGCTTCTACATGTAGTTCACCAATCAAGAAAAAAAGCAGAAAACAAGAAAAAACAAAACCGATACAGTAATACAGTTAATAGAAGATATGAAAGAAAAGAAAAGGGAGTTAATAACTGAGATAAGAAAGCAACATGAAGATAGAATGACAACTGAAAAACAGAAAATTGAACTTTTGTCAAAATTACTGAAAGATTGAAGTTAAGAAAGCTGGACAACAGTATTGCTTGTTTTAAAATGCTCAGCACCTAGAACTGATTGCGTTTTAATATGCTCAGCACATAAAATGGTATGGATTGCTTGAAAATGCTCAACACTTAGAACAGTACAGCTTGTTGAAAAACGCTCAACATAAAGAAGAGTATCACTTATTCGAAAGTAATTTACACATATAACAGTATCACCTGTTTGAAATTGATCAACATGTAGTACGCAATCACTTGATTAAGTATCAGTTTGCTGGATTGTTAATGTGCTAATTCATTCTGTTTTGGAAGTTCTGTCTGAAGAACAGACATTAGTGTTTTGAAATTTATAAAACCTTACTCAGTTTTCTTGTTAAAGTATGATGGTTTAGTTTTTAAAGTGTTCTAACATTTCATTTCAACTAGGCAGCAGATTACCTGCCAAATTTGTTTGCTAATTTTTGCCCAGTTTAAGGTCCAGGTGTTCTTATATCTACTTTGTTGACTTAATTGGTCATTTTGAGTTTCGTGCAAAGAATGCACCTGACTAACATTCTTTTAGATATCCAAAATGTACAGTGTTTTTAAAATTAAATGATAAAAGTAATGATCTTCTCAAGTTCTGCCATAGACTTAATATGATTCAGTTTATGAATTTGTGCTCCATTCAAAACATGGCTTTAAAAGGATTTAAGAAGGAAATTCTGCGTGGTCACTGGTTTTATTAATAGTATAGTGGAAACTTCTTTATAAACGTATGTACATGTATAAAGCAAGTTTTCTTGTCATGCTGTAAAAATTGTTGTGGCCTTCTAGTTTATTTTTTGTAAGATCAACTATACTGCAGTAAATATTATTAAAATGATTATAGGAATTTCAAACCTATGGAATTTATAATATGCCCCATTGAACAGCTGTAGGGCGATATATGTGTGTTTTTCTGTGTGTGCTCACTTCTGCGAGTCGTATTAGCTTCATATCTTTTAAACTGCTTAAAGATTTTGAATTTATTTGTGTATTTGCTATTGAGATAATGTGTCCAGTACAGATTTAAGCTATACTGACACAATTTCAATAAAGTACTTGAGCTTCAAACTTCCACTTTACAATGGTTATATGTTAAGTCTCCACACCTTATCTCTCTTAACTGCCTGAAGTAATTTAGCAGAAATGTTTAACATAATGAAATGGCGTGTGTTTATTGGTCCATTCTTGTAACAGTTCAAGGTCATGCAGACACAGGGCAGAGCGCAAGTTTATAAAGATATGCTTGGCACTCATCGTTTGTTATACACAGTAGCTGATACCAATACCTTTGCAGACAGAACTTGTATATCTTTTAATATTTTAAGATAGACTTTGAATTTGCATTTTAGCAAATATCAGCTAAATGATGGAAACAAACTTCCTGTTGTAAGAAAACCAGTTTCGAAATTCAAGTATACTTGTTTTTATTTGAGCTTTATTTGATCATTTATTATTGTGGAAACTACAATCGTACGATGAACCCTTGTTTGTGCTAACAGTTTTTAATGCCCTTGTCTTTTTTAAAGTTTTAGGGTAAATTGACTCGACATATACTATTTTTTAGACTTGTTTAGTTATGACATGTGAGTTATTTCTCAGATGTGAGAAGGTGGAAATTAATATTGTTCTAGATTTTTTTTCACAACTGATCATATTTTCATTGGAGGATTCTTTATTTTACTTTTAAGACTTGTAGGAAAAAAGTGTACAGTGTACAAGATAATTTAAGAAAATTTCTTTTTTTACATGTGTTATGTTTATAACATTCAGTTAAATAAAAGAGAAACACAGCTTATGAATGTTTTCTTTTAATTTTGACTAAATCAGTTATTTATTATCTTATCTGTAAATAATACTGCCACTTGGTATACACCCTAATGCATGTACTGTTCAAAGTTACAAAAGGTCGGCAATGGCTTTTCGTTTCACGTCAGCTTGACGCACATGTTTTACAAATGTCCATAAAATTGTTGACCTCTTCGTTGTCCTCGGCGCTATCCTGTATGAAATTCCAGGGATGTCCTCAGCACTGTTGTACAGACAAAGTTGATGAAGACAACAACAACTTAGTACAACATGCACAATAGCTTTGATGTCTGTCAGATCCACAAATTTCAGTCTGCGAAAGCGTCCTTTCAGAGCTCCAAAAGCTCTTTCTATGCAGATTCTTGTTTGAACTATGTTTGTAATTGTACCTTTTCTGGATTTCAATTGAGGTTTCCAAAGTCCTTAAAGGTACCATTAACCAGTTGGATAGTGGATAGGCTGAATCTCCAAGTAGATGTGGTGTTGATGGGAAAACATGTAGATTTCTTCACTTTCAGCTGCTGAAGCACTCTTGAATAACGGGGAATTTCTAAGGACTCGTGCATCGTGCACTGACCCAGGCCCACGCCGCCAATATTACATCTAAAAACTTAAGGTTACAGTCGCAAACTGCTTGAAGTATCAAGGAGGGTAACCTTTTCTGTGAATATAGTTTTCTGGGAATTCTGTTGGGGTGCGGAATAGGGATATGACTTCCATCAATCGCTCCAATGACACCTGGAAACCATTGATTTTCCTGGAATCCATCTAACAGTTCTAGCAGCTGTCCGTTTCTCTGGCCATTTCATAATCTGGTAGCAAGTGTTTACAAATTTTCTCTGAAATTTCATGAATGCATTTGTGAACAGAATACTCGCATACCCCAAATATATCTGCCAAAGCTTGGATACGTCTGTTGTGTTGATATATACTTGACATATATTAGCAGTTTCTTTTCAACGCATATTTCCCCTTTACCTATGTATGGAATCATTTGTTCTACTAACGAGTCGAATGTTTCCCTACTGATTCGGAATCTGTCCTTAAAATCATCAACACTATAATATGGCAATACTCCCTCCACATAGTTCTGGATTCGTTTTTTTCTTTCTCTAAATGTTGTGGTGGCAACAGCCATGCTACAAACTGTGTTCCTGGTTATTTTTTGTAGCAAAAGAATATTGTCATCGTATTCAGAACACATTAATTCTTCTAAAATTAGATATCAGGATACATTGTCCACCATTTTTACTTGATAAACCCACAGTTTGGTGATTAAAACTAAACAGGTTTCAGGTTGATCCTAATAACACTAAACTGCAAACCTATAACATGAACTGGTTTATCGGCAACAAATGCGCTCAAAGACTCACAGCATAATGAAGATTTATAATAAAATTGATATATCATCTATGTTACTTAGCGCTACGTGGATGTTTCAGTCGGTTTTAATCTTTTAAATTGTATAAATCGATTACTGTATTGTTTTCTGAATAGCGATTTTACTATTTCATGTTCCGATAAATAGTAACAGTGAATTTTACAGGTACAATATCAACATGCACTATTATATGACCGGATGAACCGTGTTCCGAAATTTTGCTGCTCCTTAAACTTTTGAATCGGTATGACTAAATAACGTAACGGAGATTTTTTGGCGCAAGTGGCACAATTTTTACTCAAGATTTTCCTCAAATATTGTGGTTGGAGGCATGCAGCTTTATATACTGTTTATTCAAATCAAATCATATACACATTTTTATGTTAATCTGGGACTTAAAATTGTTTGATTAACAAACTTTATGCGCGTTTTGGAATATGTAGAGGAAATGTTTCCATATACTTACCAAAACATTAACCGGAAATGTGCTTATTGAATTTTATAAGTTCTAAACTTTTTTGTGATATCTGTGATATATACATGTGTATATCATTTATTTAAAATTTAGTTTGATGACATAACATAAATTGTTCCCTTTTAGAAAAAGTATCCCTAATGCGCCAAGAAGAAAGCATATAATCAATCAAAACATTTTTAAAAAATGAAGTGTAAAACAAACTTTCATAAGGATACTATACTGAACCAAAAAGAAACTTTCGCAAAGTATGTGCAAGTTGTTCAAGGGTACCACTTAGATGTACACACTTATATACATGTTGTAGCTTGATAAACTCGTTTTGTTTGCAAAATCGGTCAGCTAATCCCCGTATAAAAGCCCGATATGTTTATTCAACGTAAAAATCGAGTTTCAAAAGGATTGAAAAACTGTACTAACATATCTACATTCAAATTTGGTAAACGTTTCTTTTTTTGTTTCAGTATATATTCAATATATATGATAAATTCTATTTTGTTAAATAACTGTAATTTATAAGCATACCTTGTGTCTTTTATGCAAAATTATCCCCAAATATTTTCGAATTAAACAAACTTTTCACAGCAGCAAAAAGACCTCTCGCATGCTTCTTTTTAAAGAAGCAAACTTGTATCAATTTATTGACAAATAGGGGTGTCGATAATTATTGTATAAAAGCATATTATTTATCGCTTTAACTTAAAAATTACCACCTGATAAACCTCTTATTAGCATAATAGCGTAGTGCTCTGTGGGTGTAGATACTGGAAAAGGCAATTTTTACATTTCTTTTTTGTTTTCTGTTTTTTTTGTTCAACAACCCGTGAATTCCATTCGAGAACATTGTATACATGTACACATTCGCATCCAACAGGTTAAGTATAAGACAACACAGTTGTGAATTGGGTGATAAATGGGCAACGGTAAAAATATATGTACAAATGAGCAATATTGTTAAATACTGAATGTAATTGATTATTAACAAAGTTACGTCCCCTTTATAAAGCTACCACATTAAATAAATGTTCATGGGAGTATTTTTTTTTATTTAGACTGTATACATATATATATTTCTGTTTACCGTATATATTTAGTCCTTGGAACATATTAATACATACGTCAAGGGAAGGGAGTTCAATGTAGTATGGTAAGAAGGTTATTTTAATAGATATTTAAGGTCACGGGGTTACTGATTATTCAAGCAACGTTTACCATAAAACTGAAAAAAAAAATACAATTTGATTTTAACCTGTGTTGAATAGTTTAAACATTTTATAAAGTGGTTCTGTTTTGTGACCAGCGTGTGATTGTTATGCGGCGGCGTAAAAAGGACACGGTTATGGATAGTGCCGTGATAATCACACGCACGACTTTATAATTAATCAGTTTCATCCGAATGATAAACATTTCCTCTAAAACTAGTTCTACATTTAATGGTAAACTTTTTTTAGAATACTAGATCTACTGTTCTATTTGTACAATTTGTTTCATTACCACGCTTCGTCATAATCACATGGTTGGGAGTAGGGCCGTGATAATCACACGTACGGTCTTATATACACTCCAAATAACACGAAATATATACCATTTTATTCCAAAATGAATTTAGCATCAAATAGTATAACTTTTGTGCGAATGCTATGTTTGCCCAAAACGCGGGACTGTATTAAAAAAGCACATTTTA